TGGGTCCTCAGGCCTTATTTATTTCTTTTTTTTTCTTTCTTTTTTTTTTTTTTTTTTGGAGACAGATTTTCACTCTTGCTGCCCAGGCTGGAGTGCAACCGTGCCATCTCGGTTCACAGCAACCTCGGCCTCCCAGGTTCAAGGGATTCTCCTGTCTCAGCCTCCCAAGCAGCTGGGATTACAGGCACCCGCCACCACGCCAGGCTAATTTTGTATTTTTAGTAGAGATAAGGTTTCTCCCTGTTGGTCAGGCTGGTCTCGAACTCCCGACCTCAGGTGATCCGCCTGCTTCGGCCTCCCAAAGTGCTGGGATTACAGGCGTGAGCCACTGCGCCCGGCCATCATGCCTTATCTTGAGCAAATTTCCAATCTCCTGGGGTGAGGCCTGTATGAGTAAAACACATGGGGTTCACTGTGCACACCCCTAAAACCAACTGTATAAACGCTCGCTACGGCTGCGATCGTGTGGACACACGTGAATGAGGAAAGGTGGAAATGGGGGAATAATAATGTCACTGTGGGTTCCACTCTATGGCCACACTCCAGAGTGCTCGGGTGAGGAGTGAGGAGATCCACACACAGTTCCCGGCCCCACATCCCCCAGCTATGCAAGGCGTAGCAAGTCGGGACACCGCGCCTCAGGGACGCCGTGTGAACAGTGATGGTTGGACTAGATCAAAGGTCTTTGTTGTTGTTGTTGAATTTTAAACTCAATTTTTCGAAGTTAAGATGGCAAGGCGAGCTGGTTGAACAGGCAGGTTCCGAGACCCCACTCCCTCCTCCCACATCGGCAAGGTAAACAACTCGGGGCAGGATGGCGCCCAACGCCTCGGGAGCCGCCTGCACTGGTCCGACCCAGTGCAAAGTCCTTGGGTTAGGTCACGGCAAAAATAAACAGTCCAGGAGCTGATTTTATCTCCTTAGTCAGAGAGCCCGAGCTGGAATGCAAACAAGTCTTCAAAGGATTAGAGGTGGATACCAGTCGCTCGGTAAGTACTGTTAGCTAATTCATTTGTTTCTAAACAAATGAGAGTCTCTCAAAACACCGTTCCCTCGTTTGCTTTACAGTGTTTTGAGAAACTCTCATGTGTTTCGAACCTTCTTTTCTTAGGAAAAAGACTGCTGCAGGTAAACGCAGAGGGAGGGTGCTCAGCAGATCATACGCAGGCGAGATACGGATTTTACTTTTTCTCAATCAATGCTGCTTAACCAAAAAGCTACAGACAGCAGCCCCTGGAAGAGGGAACCAAAGAGTTCCACAGCCACCTGATGGCCAGTGCAGCGACTTTCACGGCTGGTGTCTGCTGCCTGGTGTGTGACTGCGGAAGTCTAACGCACACACTGTCATTTCCACCAGGGACCAGGGAAATGTAACCTACTGGCCACAGGATGGAGGTGAAAATCACAGGGAAGAAGGAAACCTCATCTTCAAATTAAGCTGTTTCAAGCTAAGCATCACTTGGGACAGTGCCCTGAGCCATGAAAAAAACATGAATTTTGAATGTTAGACAGATATTTTATAAAAACAATCTACTGACAGATGCTAAAACTAAGGTTTTGATGGGGTTTTGTTTTTTTTGTATTTCACCAGATGAGTTTTATTCTTAAACAAGAAGTCTTCTTGTCCTCTCTGTAGCTACCCTGAGATACTGGGCAAGAGACGGACTCAGACAAACTAGCTCTGAATCTGAGCCCCCCACCTTGTTAGGCCTGTGACTTCCTAACTTCCCTGAGCCTCGCCGTCCTCATCTGCAGAATGGGGAGAGCAAGAGCATTAAATTCAGGCCACTCTGAGGACTACCCAGCACACTACAAATACTGTATATTGACTATGCTTTCTCCCAAATGTCCCGTGGTTGTGAGTATATTTGTTTTGTGGGTCATTTGAATTTTCTGTGTTTCTCAGACTCAGGAGTTAAAAATCCACCTGACTGGAAGAAGTGCTAAAACTTCTCTGAAAAGGTCATTCTACCACCTGGTAAAGGTAGATGCCCAAAGCTTTCTTGCCTTTTCTTAGGAAGCCAAGGGAGGGCCACCTTCAAAAGGTAAAGTCACGTGTCTCTACTCGCGGGACGGCGTGCCGGAAGCAGCCGTGTCTGCTCTGATCTGATGTGCGTGGCCGTGTGTAGCTGGACCTCTTCTCCAGGATTCCTCACCGAGGGGAGCGCGTCAGAACCCGGCGCCCCTTATCCCCACGGCCACCCACAACCGAGAACCTCTGCCCTCACCGACAGAGGTGCCTTGTCTTCTCACACGCCTCAAAACTGACTCACCACACTGGCGAGTCACAGCGTCTCCCGGGTCACACATGTGTGAACAAACACACAAAACCCAAAAAGGGTACCATGCACACAGCAGGACTCTGAACCTGTGCCTTCTGGCGACCCCTCTGCCAGTTTGGCAAGGCTCACAGACCCTTCTTCAGATGAACATTTTGAATACGTAACATAAAATACGAAGGACTGCAAAGGAAAACAATTGCATCTAAAACTTGAAAAACTCCGGGATGTGAACCACAGCAAAAGAGTCTGTGACATCTGGTAAGTGCTTCTTTATTAAGAATAAAAGAAAGAAAAGATCTAATAAAACAAGACACATTCCATGACGCCGCATGCCACAGCACGGAGCCTCCACACTTCCATTTCACCTATAAAAAAACGGCCCTACCCAACAGCAACATGAAATGAAAGATCAATCAGTATCTGTTTCCGCTGAAGCACGACATGAAAATCTCTGGTATCCCCTGGTGACAACATCGCAGGTCCTGCTAACACCGCGGCGCCTGTGCGCGTCTACGTTCATAATTAAAGGAAGGCTGCATTTCAGTTAGAAGCTAATAAAAGCTAAAAGGATTTCTTCTTTTTTCTTAACTGTATAAACTAAAAACAAAGCAAACAAACAAAAAAGACACTCTCTCTGTTCAGGTCTGCTGTTAAACAGATTTTAGAAACTGTGGCTCAGCGTCACGGAGTAAACACTGGGCCTTTCCCACATCCATTTTACCTGTAATGAAACCATCCCTACCCAACTGCAGGTATTTTACGGGAATGAAATGAGACACTTTGTGTAAAAGTTCTCCGAAAGTTGTGTGGTGTTGCCCGCGGATGGTCGTCCACTTACAATGGAAACGCCGGTGATTAATGGAAGTGTGAATGGTGCTGAGAGCAGTGGCTCACGCTTGTAATCCTAGCACTTTGGGAGGCGGACGCAGGAGGATTGTTTGAGGCCTAGAGTTTCAGACCAGCCTGGAAAACATAGGGAGACCCCGTTTCTCAAAAAAAAAAAAAAAAAAAAAAAAAAATTAACAATTAGCTGGGCATGGTGGTGCATACACGAAGGCCTAGCTACTCTGAGCCCAGGAAGCCAAAGCTGCAGAAGGCTGTATGTGCACCACTGCACCCCAGCCTGGGCAACAGAGCAAAACCCTGTCTCAAAAAAAAATCATATGCGTGGGAACCAGGAGCCTCCTGTGGCAGAAACGGCCATGACAGGTACTGCAGACTCACAAGAAGGTTTCCTAAGGGAAGGTAAATAACACAGAGAGATCTCCCAAAAAATAGTTCTGTTACAAACTCTACTGTTCTCCTGTGAGTTCTTTTGCAGACTTCAACAATCTGAAAAAGTCAATACAAAACCCACCAACTTTAATATGAGTCCAAGTCTAACACGCTTCTTATCTACCCGTGTGGATTATTCTATTTTTATCCCTATCGAAGCTGATTATCTGCAATGTTCACAGAGACTCTGTAGGGTTTATGAGTCAATGTAAGCACATTTTTCTTCTTATTAATATCTAATAAAGAGAACCTGAAAACATCCCTAGACGTACTCTGAAGGAGAAACTTGTAGTAGCAACTTGTTTATTATAAATGATCTCACTAATTCAATAAAATTGGAGAGATCAGCCTGTATTAGAAAACATAATTACAAGAAATCTTTCGAGATGTGACGTAAGCTGGTTTTGAACCAAGCTATCTCCAGGTAGGAGGATTGCTATACTTCTTTTTAAGCGACACAGTGATACACAGATAGGTAAATTATTGGCTGCCAAAAATTTTTAAAGAGTGAAATTACTTCTAAGAACTAAATATCACAAAGTATTAATTTTTAAAATTATCCTTTTTTTCCAAGTCTGCAATATCAAGTTTCACACCCTGGCCATCATGACCACACTGAAAACGCTCGCCGGGTACACTGCTCACCCCACCAGGTGTCAGCACGACGGGTTTGCTGCGGCTGCGATCCTCAGGCTCGGCGAATAACCACTTAGGAGCCTTCACACAGGAGTTACCAGCCTCGGTACACACGTCTTGCTACGCCTCATAAATGAGCAGCCTGGATGTTCCCAATATCTTTGGTTTTAAATTTAGACAAACTCCTTCCCAGTGAGTTTCTAAGGACTTGTGGTACTTTTGGTAAGAAATGGAAATAGAAACATTTTTAAATTCTTTTGTACGGTCAAAAAAAAAAAAAAAAAGTTGCCTCCCGCCTGTAATCTCAGCAGTTTGGGAGGCCAGCATGGGTGGATCACTTAAGTCAGGAGTTTAAGTCCCGCCTGGCCAACATGGTGAAACCCCGTCTTTACTACAAATGCAAAAATTAGCCAGGCAAGGTGGTGCGTGCCTGTACCCCCAGCTACTTGGGAGGCTGAGGCAGGAGAATCACTTGACCCCAGGAAGCAAAGGTTGCAGTGAGCTGAGATCACACCATCACGCTCCGGCTTGGGTGAGAGAGTGAGATTCCATCTCAAAAAATAAGTAAATAAAAAGTTGGATCAGATGAAAATCTTACTGGGTCCCCACTCCTCTAAAATGTCTATGCAGAACATTCAAAACGGGGAGCTTCGATGTGGGTAACCCCTACAGCTGCATTTCTTTGACCACCTTTCCAGAGGTGGCAAGCCACAGCACAGGGGAGCCAGAACAAGAACTTATGTGGGGCCGTGGCCAAGGAGGACTGGTCCTGACGCTGCCGTGGAGGCGCACGTGGACGGTACTTACGGAAGTATTTTAGCGTCTCTTCAATTTGCTCGGTGGTGAGGTCAACGTTGGCGTCGGGAGAAATGACAGGTGTATGGAGCCAGTCGTCGTGGTCATAACCATAGATGGTGTCGGCTCTTAACTTGTAATGGGGCAGCTGCTCCTCCAGGAGGCTGATGATCTCGACTTCCGGAAGGTCGGTGCTGTTGCACACATCTGAAGACAAGACCACGAGAGGTGAGCACGGGGGGCCGCGGCCCTGCTGCTGCTGGCTACCTAAACCTGACCCCTGCGGCCGGCACCTTCGGTGACTCATCTGCAGCACGGAGAAGGCAGGCAAGGCTAGCTCAGCAGTCTTCTCCCAATTTAAACGCCATTCTCGAAACTTTGAATTCTGCAGGCTTACCGCCAAGACCTACGCGAAATGTCTCCGGCTGTTTAGCGTCCACTATTTGGGAAGAAAAGCCAAAATTTCTGACCTTTTATCATCTGAGTCTTTCCTCCAACCCCTTCTCCGGCCATGCTCCTTCAAGCTTTCTACACTTCAGCCAGACCAGTGCTGATTTTACCAATATGCCTAACTTCTTCCTGACACGCTTTTACCATTCGAGCTAACCCCTCATCTAGGATTTGGCCTTCATTTAATTTATTCATTCATCTGTTCATTCATCCACACTTCCTTCCTTCCCCCTACCCATCCATATGTATCCTGAGTACCAGAGGCAGAGAAGACACAGTGGTGAACACAGGAGTCGTGGTCCTGCCCTTCCAACACTTATATCCTTAGGGGGCATGCAGCAATTATACCAACAGGTGCCCATTCTTTAAGGAATACCACCTGACATGCTGGTGTTTTGAGTACACCCAGCAGAATTAATCTGCCTTACCCTTTCTATACTGACATGCCATTTTGTCAGAACTTCAGTTACTACACTTATTTTTTATTTTTTTATTTTTTTTGAGACGGAATCTTGCTCTGTCACCAGGCAGGAGTGCAGTGGTGCAATCTCAGCGTACTGCAACCTCCGTGTCCTGGGTTCGAGCAATTCTCCTGCCTCAGCCTCCCGAGCAGCTGGGACTACAGGCGCACACCACCACACCCAGCTAAGTTTTGTATTTTTAATAGAGATGGGGTTTCACCATATAGGCCAGGCTGGTCTTGAACTCCTGACCTCGTGATCCACCCACTTCGGCTCCCCAGAGTGCTGGGATTACAGGTGTGCGCCACCACACCTAGCCGTTGCTACACTTATTAAGTGTCTTGAGGATATTTCAGTATCTGATTTATCCTGCTGGGGGAGGGCAGACTTCCATACACAGCCACCCTTGATCCACCAGCTGTACCCCGCAGCTCTTGGCCAGGCTGTGCTCAGGGGTGCATAAGAATGCCTGTGATGAACCAGTTCACACAAAGCACACGAATGCAGGCTTCTACACCACAAACATGACGGCATGGAAAGAGAGCCAGCACGTGGGCCCTACTTCTCTAACCCAGGGCTATCCATCACAGGAGAACGCGGAAACTGAAGGAAGTGCTAATGGGTGAGTGGTAACTCTCTGTCAGGTAACTCCGACGTCATCCTCTCTGTCAGCCCATTTTGCAGGAGGCATTTGAGACTGTGACGGAGATGGCCCGGGGGAGCAGCGGTGGCTTCGTCAATCCATTAATAAACCCAGTGCCCATGGTGCACGCAGCGAGATGAGAGGGGAGTTAACTAACTTAACTAACTTTTGTTCTAGGAATGAGTCTTCAACAAAGAAAACTTAATCAAAAGATAAGAATATTACTGAGGTCGATTCGGTTTTTTTAAGACAGTGTCTCACTCTGCTGCCCACACTGGAACACAGTGGCACGTTCTTGGCTCACTGCAGCCCTGACCTCCTGGCCTGAAGCGTGCCCCCACCTTGGCCTCCCGAGCAGCCAGGACCACTGAGGTGCACCACCACACCCAGCTAATTTTACTTTTTGTAGAGACAACTCTCACTATGCTGTGAGGTCTAATTTTAGTTTTGGCAGAGACAAGATCTCACTGCGTTGCCAGGTGGGTCTTGAACGCGGGCTCAAACAACCCTCCCGCCTTCGCCCCCAGAGTGCCGGGATTACAAGCACGAGCAACCTTGCTAGGCCGGAGGTCAGTTCTCATCAAAGTCACCATACCATGTTCCTGCTTTGAAGCAGAAAACAAAAACAAGAACCTGGATCAAGGGAAGGACCAAACTCAAGCTTCCGTCTCCATCCCTCTCCAAGGTGTTAGAGAGGGCAGAGGAGAAAAAAAATACTTGTGATGAATAAAACCACGCAACCGAATGGGAAAACAAAGAGGAGATGCTGAGGATGAACCAGAAGTGTGAGGTTTTCCTAAACATGGTTAAGATCTCATTAAAGGAGAAAGGGCCAGTGTTACACATGAGCACCCATTGGCACAAGTCTACACACACGCGGGAAATGACTAGTGCGGTCAGTGGGAGTAGATCCTGGCGTGCTCCACGCGGGAGGCAGCTGTCGGAGCAACAAGGGCCTGGGGCAGGGATTCACGGCAGAACCAAAGCCAGGGCAGCGCGGAGGAGCAGTCCCTTCCCCGTTCTCCCTGCTCGGGCCAAGGCAGGGAAGGCAGCAAGGCAGGACTGCGGGGGCTGCACACACTCAGGGGAACACGGGACATGTGCCTGGAAGAAAAGCAAAGACCTTGTGTCTGACAAGGCCATTCAGCAGATGAAAAAAATACGGATTCATGGGAAAAAAGAGCATAGTTATGACTCACCACCCTTCGGGCAGGCACCCACTGAAAACACCTGTCAGCACCCACCCTCCAGCAGCTCCCCACCATCCAGTTCTCCCTCAACTCACTATGCAAAGCTTCGCCACAGAGCACATCCACCCAGGGTGTCAGCACGGCTTTCCGAAATGCAAGGACAGGGTTAGAAATGAGGCAGTGAGGACGTGCAGGATTTTACGTGGAGCTTTAGGAAGCAGTTCAGTCCTGGGGGGTTGGGGGGCTACATCTCACTGCTGGGACTTCTCTGCCTGTGGGGGGAGATGTCACCGCAAGCACACACGGCATTTCAGCCAGCCAAAAACTGGACCAGACCTGCTCCCTCACTTCGCAAAGCTACGTCCTTCCCCAGGCAGAGCAACAGCCCAAGCTCAAGACAGAAGACTTCTCATATTTCCCGCCATCTCCCACTGGCAATAAACCACCACCCAAAGGCTCAAGATGGGCCGGTAATAAGCAAATATTTCCTCTTGTCACTACCAAGTAAAGAGTAAGTGTTGAGAAATGCTGAGTGTACAATAAAATATACTGTTTGCTAAGAACAGCGGCAAGGAAAGCCTAGCTGACCCCCCCACACACACACAAGTGGAAAATGCTTGGGGCGTTCTAAAGCAGCAAAACAGTATATGTACATCACACCCCGGTTAAAACAATGCTTTCAGCACTGGACGTGGGCCCTGCCCCGGGGCTCCCTCGTGGAGAATACTTTTTCGTTCGTCTGTGATCAGTGGTAAGCGGGCGCCAGCTGCACCCCTAGTTTATCTTGGTTCTATGAGAAAGCGCAGAACACCTGTTTGTGGATACGCATCACCTGTTCAGAGAATAGCTACGTGGGTCAGCGCTGCTCGAGGTCCCCTCCCGGCCCGGGGTGCCGTCGGCCCCTGAGACCCCCGGCCCGGGATGGTGTCGGCCCGTGAGACCCTCGGCCCGGGATGCCGTCGGCCCCCGAGACCCCCGGCCCGGGATGCCGTCGGCCCCCGAGACCCTCGGCCCGGGATGGTGTCGGCCCCCGAGACCCCCGGCCCGGGATGGTGTCGGCCCCCGAGACCCTCGGCCCGGGTTGGTGTCGGCCCGTGAGACCCTGGGCCCGGGGTGCCGTCGGCCCCCGAGACCCTCGGCCCGGGATGGTGTCGGCCCGTGAGACCCTCGGCCCGGG